TTGATCCGAAGGTTCCAGATAATTATTTAAGTGTTACTGTACCATATCTTCCTCATCCCTCCAGAAACTTGTAGAACGGACCAGACTTCACTACCACAACCCGCTGAACCCCCGGGATCCCAAAGCACCACAAGTGATGCAGAATCCTCCAGAACCACCTTCAAACTTTTTCCTCGTCACCTATATATTAACACCAATTCCAGCGAAGTGTGAAATATCCTAAAACATTCTCTATCAATCAAACGTTCATACTTGGTTACAGCGGCCCTCCTTATCATTCTCACTCTTAGCTAATTCCCACGACCATTCCCCTGATTCCATTTTCCAGCTGCGAGGCTACTCATTCAGTCGCTCGTACTAACTATCAAATCAAGAAATGGTTAAGGCTACGAGGTTCGTCTTCATGAGCTTGCTGGTTTTAGCAGCAGTTGCAGCCCTTTTACCTGAGCAAGCCGAGGCATTGATGCCCTACTCTCCCCGTTCCTTCTGGGACATGATGCTTCCAAACGAAGACCCTTTTAGAATCTTGGAGCACAGCCCTTTAACGGTCCCCAAAGGGGTGGAGACGCTGGCCTTGGCACGCGCTGACTGGAAGGAGACGGCGAAGGAGCACGTGATCTCGCTAGACGTTCCAGGGATTAAGAAGGAGGAGGTCAAGATTGAGGTGGAAGACAACAGGGTTTTGAGGGTGAGCGGAGAGAGGAAAACTGAAGAGGAAGTTGAAGGGGATACATGGCACAGGGCTGAGAGGACTGTTGGCAAGTTCTGGAGGCAGTTTAGGCTGCCTGGCAATGCTGACTTGGATAAGGTGCAAGCCCATCTTGAAAATGGGGTGCTGGAAATTGTTGTGCCAAAGTTGGCTGGGGAGAAAAAGAAGCAGCCTAAGGTGATCAGTATCGCTGAGGAAGCCGGGAGCAATACGGGCGTGGATGTCAAGGCCCAAAGGGATGAGATGTAATCATGTCAGCGCCAAAAATATCATAGTCACTGGCGTTTCGTGAACTTGCTGGTTTCTGGTTGCCTTCGAGTGGTCTCGGGTTATCAACTGGAAAGCTGAATAGTAGATCGCGTAATTGGGTGTTTGTATGTTGAAAATGTAACGTGTTTGTAATTTACCGATCATGAAATAAAGTTAGTAGCTTTACGCTAATCTCATCATGGTGTTTTTGAATTTCTTTGCTGTGGATGGATGAAGATTTTGATGCTGCTATACGATCTCCATTCATGTTCTTTACCTTCCTTGATCCCCACCCCCCAACACCCAAAAAAAAAAAACCAGATGAGTGCACTGTCATGTTGGAAGGGTGCATTGCACGTTTATGTGAATTTTTTAAAGAAGTGATAAATGGTAAAAGATAAGGGTTGAATTCTTGACATTTCACTCTACCAAGTTTTAAGGATTTGGTGATGGTCCGCGTGATTTTTTTACTCGTCTCTTGAACTTATCAAAATATTATATTGATCACCTTTAATTATGAAGTTAGTGTTTATCAAGCTTTTGTTTCTCTTTTCTCAGGGTTTGTTAACTTGAGCTTTTGCACAAAATTTTTGAAAATAAACAAATAACTAGTTTTGTATCCATTCGTTGAATGGAAATTGTCTAAAAATAATAAATTATTTAGTGTAGTTTATAAAAATATTTTCATAAAATACAAAACTTATTGTATAATCTATTATAACCTTTCTTAAATACATTGTTATTAAAAAATAGTCTTATAATGTAAATTTAAATATCTAATTCAGTGATTAATAATTCGAAATGAAAAAAAAATTGACAATATGATGACATTCAAAAACTTGAAAATAGGGAAGATCAAATCTTGGCTGATCTTCTGTAAACAAAAGAATGGTCAACCCGTTACCAAAACATCAATTTTGGTACTTAATATAAATGGCTTAAAGGTTAATGTGAAAAGAAAAGAAGTCGAATGAAATATTAATAAACGATAATAATTCAGAATCAATCAAGTCACAGGAACATAGCAACCTTCTAAATCTGTTCATGGCTAATAGAAACCAAAACGAAAACATAAGATGTATTTTGCTATTAAGTCAAAAACATAAAAACTCTAAATAGTCTGATGTATATTGCATGACGTGAACTGTTGTATGACAATGAACTTGATGCCTTGCCATTTATATAATCAATGACACCTTCTTGTTCTTTAGAAGCTTTCTATAAAAAACAAATTGAAAACTGCACAAAATTTTTTTAATTCCAAAAACCCAGAAAATAAAAAAAACTAATACGTTGATGAAGACAATTAATAAATTGTCAAAGGCAATTAAAAAATCGTGTGAAAACACATAGTTTAAAAGATCACTTCTAAATCACTAACCAAAAAAACAATATATGTTCTACTTAAATTAAAGAGTGAATCCATAAATTGAAATAAAAAATTAATTACAAAAACCTTGCCAGAAATAAAAATCAAACTGTAACTTTTGAAGAGTTAGAAAATTCAAATTCAATGATCTAGTTATGAAAAAAGTGTAGGAAATTACAGACCACATATAGCGAGCATAAACAAAGTCCAAATGCGGTCCTTGCATTGAAGGGAATAAAAACGAAGTTCCAAATCCGATCCTTACATTGAAAAAAAAAATTTCCAGAAACATTGTGGAAAAGTGTAAATATCTGCACTGCTTGATAAAGTGATAAGTAATAGATCGATAACCATATATATGAGTAAAAATGTAGAGTATCTTCGATAGCGATAATCTGATAAAGATAATCTAATATTTGAATTGATATTTCGAATTTTTTGAGTTGAAGATGAGAGAGAGTTAAAAACATAATTCAAAATTATTTATACTAATCCGCTGGAAATTTAGGCTTGACGATTAGGGTTAATGGAAAAAAGGGTGAGAGAATGGAAGAGATAATTATGGAAGGATTATCTAGAATTGTAAAGTCAAGAGAAAAAAGAGAGATAGAATAGCGTAGGTTATTAGGGGGTTAACTCATAGAGCGCGTTGCACCTACTTGCTATGTCGATAAACCACGTAGGAAAGAGATAAACTAAAAAATAAGGATGAGAATAAGACTTTATTTTATATATATATATATGATTTATTAAGAATCCTATTAGGAAACTACTTGCCGTCTCGTTAAGTCACGTAGGAAGGAGAAAACATAAAGAGATAAGAATGAAAATACAACTTTATTATATATATATATATATGATTGCATTTTTATCGGGGATGCATTCGGTTATACAGGGGATGAAGCGCAAGTTTTTGATGAAGTTTAAATTCTTTCTTCCGTTTTTTTTTTTTTTTTGTTTAAGTAGCACATATCGCTATTGTCAATGGATAGGATCAGATCAACTAATTGATTGATTATATCTTGTTTTCACATTATCAATGCTAACACTTGGGGAAGCACTTCGAAACAGTCGCGTTTCAAGAAATGAGCAAACGGAAGTACGCTTCAAATCTAGTGTGGAAATGGATGGACAAATGAATTACATGCCATTAACATTTGAATTCAATGAGAAAAAAACATATTGAATTCGGGAACTCAAATTGAGTTAGTTGGCAGCCACAGAAACTCACCTGGGTTGATCTACAGAATTAAGAGAATTGAGAAATTCTATCTCAATTCGGATTAACTATTAAATATGTCAAGTAGTTGATTCGACATGAAATTCAGTACAATTGAGAAACTCCAACGTTCTAGTGTGGAAGGGCAATGAGAAAACGCATATGTACCCCGTGGATCAGGCATCTGTATCTAGTACCCAAGTCAAAAGGGGATGGTGGACTGATTTGTCCCAAAACCTTGATGCAGCCAGATAACAAGCTTTTTTTTTCTTTTTTTTTTGTCGGCTGGGAGGTATCCTGACTTGTTAGAATCACCCGGCCAGACTACTCCTCCCAAGCTATGAGAGCCCGTCCCAAGGATCACAGCAAGGAAGCATCCGGGAGTCGAACTTGAGACTTGCTCCTAAAGAGGAGACTACGGAAATCGTTTGAGCTATCCAAAGGTAGGGCTGTCAACGGGTCGGGTCCGGGTCGAAATTCATTATTCCGGACCCGGACCCGAATTATTGTACCGGAACCGGATCCGACCCGTTTACTCGACAGGTCTTTTATTCTATGTTCCAGATCCGGATCCGGCGGGTCCCGGATCCGGATCGGGTCTACCCGCACAAATTTAACAAAATTTATAATTTCTAATAAAAATAAGAAAAAAATATATTTGTAAACTAATTTCTAACTAATGCAAAGAAAAAACCAAATAAGAAAAGAAATCAAATTGACTTTACTCAAATACATCACCCTAATCAAATTATATTGATAAATATATATATTTTAAATTATTAATTCATTTATATCCGGATCCGGGTCTAATACGGGTCGGAATACTATATTCCGTATCCGACCCATTTTTGTTTGACAAAACGGATCCGATCTGGATCCGGGTCTAGACCCGACCCGTTGACAAGCCTATCCAAGGGAACAGATAACACGGTTTACGCTCCCCCTCTTTTTTTTTTTTTTTTTTTTTAAATAACATGGTTCACCCACTTGATATACTAAAACATTTTATAATTTCCTTTTTATGTTTAATAGTTTATTGATAGTAATAAAAAAATAGACCATAGTAAATAAGTCCGTTGAAAAAAATAGAGTATAATGACAGATGAGGTGCAATTTAACTTGAGATGAATATTCGACAATATTGTTGCAAGTTTGTAATCCATTCAAATGACTTTTACGGTTCTATCCAACTCCTGCGATTGGTAATTACCTAATTATTCTTTTCTGGTTGGCATTGGAAACATCATGCATAATAGTACTTTTTTCAATTGTCATCCTTTGATCAAAATTAAAAACTGTGGGACATAATTTGTTTACATTCAAACATTAGAGTGCACTTTAGTGTAGTGCCCCAATTTTGGGGACTAAAAGTGTAATTCCTCCCAATTCTTTTGCCTCGGGAGTAAACTACATAATCCTTTACGTAAGCTCATGCCTTGTGCTGATTACCTCTCTTCCCTGCGAGCGCCAAAACTTCTCACGCAGTTCACACATTGCGGCGCTCTCTCTTCCCCTCAGCCGGAGAGAGCTCTCTCTTCTGATTCCTCCTGCAGTGAAGCATTCTACTCTGAAGTTTCTTCTCTTTATTTTTTCCTGGTATAAGTTTGTATTTCGAAATTTCACCTGTTCGAAGAAGTCCTAAAAGAGGGTTTGTTACATATTTCATCTTATATATTGTGGAAAAATCTATATAATGATGCGGCGGATTTTTTTAACTTGTTGATGATTGATTGAAGGTCTCAATATGAGGAAAAAAGTTGATGAGCGGATTAGGAGTTTGATTGAAAATGGAGTAAGGATGAGGCACCGGTCTATGTTTGTAATAATCGGTGATAAATCTCGTGACCAGGTCTGTTTTTCAGCACTAGTGATATTGGCTTTTTATACTTACTTTTCTGGTCTAATTTGCTAATTTCTTTTGTTTTTTTTGTTGCAGATTGTTAATTTACACTATCTGTTAAGTAAAGCAGTAATTAAATCTAGACCAACCGTTTTGTGGTGTTACAAGGACAAACTCGAGCTTAGCAGGTATTTTTATTTTCTCTGTGGACATTATTCAATGTTAGTTTGGCTAATTTTAGGCTCAGAAGATGTTCATTGTCGACTTGGTTCACGCTCAAATTTAATTGCTTTTGGACTTGCCTGTCTTGTGTCATCTACCGGTGCTTAGGTTCATAGCTATCGTACCATACATTGCATTCTAATAGTAGATGATGACAAATCTTCAAATAAATGGCTCACTTTATGAACTCTTGGAAAGAAATGAGCACTTATTTTGCTGCTTGCGACTTCTTGTTATCCAGCCACAAGAAAAAACGTGCGAAGCAAGTTAAGAAGCTAATGCAAAGAGGACTTCTTGATCCTGAGAAAGTAGACCCATTTTCACTTTTCATCGAAAGTGGTGGGGTCTCATTCTGCTTGTACAGAGACTCAGATAGGATTCTTGGAAATACATATGGAATGTGCATATTACAGGTGAGTTATTTAGTGATTTGTCTGTCTAGAGATTCACGAATATATTTTGATAATCTTCTATGTATTATCTATTAGATTTTTCAAATTTTGCATTTTTGGAATCAGGATTTTGAAGCCCTCACTCCAAACATCCTTGCAAGAAGCATAGAGACAGTTGAAGGAGGTGGTTTGGTTATTTTGCTGCTTCGTTCACTCTCTTCTCTTAGCTCTTTGTACACGATGGTTATGGTCTGTACTCTTCTCCTTAATCTTTCCATTTAATTCAACTAAACATGTTAGCCATCTTGCAAAAGCTCCTAAATAGATGCATGGAAAATATAAAATCTTGGATGCTTGAAATCCACAGCTGTCTATTTGGGTTTCTTTTGGACTATTCCTTTATTCGTGACTGTAAAGATGAGCCATTGTGGTAATTGAATAGGCAGTATGGAGTCATCCATTGGGTTTGTGTCTAAATATGAGGATGTATGGCCCAAAGTTAGTCAGGGAACATACTTAATCAAGGAGAGCTGATGTCTTTTAAATGTTTCAGCTTTACACATACTCAGATTTCGAGAAACTGGCACGGATTCTTTGATCTTTAATTGGATCTAATAGTATTCATAGAACGCATTATGCATCACTGACTGCATTCAGAATATGTGAATGCATAAAACAGGCAACATGTTGTGGATTTGGTAGTTCTGTGGAACAAGGAACATTGCATTTAGAAATAGCTTTGAGGAACTAATATTCTACACATCTAAGCCAGCCACAAAAAACATAGAAACTCAAAATTAGGATTATCTGTTCTAAATTTTGTTTCCTCTATCGCCTTTGACTAACCTTTGTGAATAATATCTCCAATGTGGGGCAAAACCATAATATGCAAGACTTTATCTTCTATTCTCATTTTCATAAGTGGGATTTTGGCGACCTTTTCTGATATCCGTAGGACATGAATGCCAGTATTCATTCTGATGCCTTTACATGAGACTGGAACTTAAGCTTGAACTCGAGATTGAGAATAAGTAAAGTTGTGTGGTGGAATTCTTTCAAAGCAATAGATTTAACAATTGCACGTACTTCATGCCGTGTGCATTAAACATCTCCGTGGGATAACACATGTTACTTCCATCGAAATGTTTTTCCAGCATTCGTCTTAGAGAAACAAGATTCTTTGAAGTTAAAGGCGTTTACTTGATGTTAGATCTGTGACTAAATAAAGCCAGTGAAAGTGTGGAAAATGGATGTATTATATGTTATACCTGTAACTTTGTTAGACAGTCAAATGGCATCAAAAGTGTTTAAAGGGCTAGTGCTCAAGCTACTTTCTTTATATACCTCTTCTTCCTTTCTGTTTCTATTTTTTGTTTATTTTGTTTTTAGCCAAGGAGTTAATGCTTGTTCAACAAATGCACACACACACACACACACACACACATATATATTCATTGGCAATTTAACTTGTTTTAGCTTTACTATCTCTGTTCAGCAAGAGGGGACAACCCTTCCTTGGTAATCAGTTGTTGTACTCTATTATTAACAGGAAAAGAAAAAGCAAGAAAGTGTATGAGAACTATGCGAGACTCTTTCTTTGGAGCATTTATAATTTCCTTTTTTAACCTTCCACTCTGTTTAGTGTGATGTGATTGTTTCTGGTATTTTATTTATTTATTTATTTTTAATTTTTTAAGAAAAAACTGGAAGTATGAGACACGTAGTGCCTTAGCTTTTCCTATCTCATCTCTTTTTGTTCAACAAAAGATTATGTGAAAATCTTTCCCATTACTTTAGAAGCAGATGGACTGTTATTCTGTTGTGATTAGTAATATTTTTTTCAACAAACGTGTTGTGATTAGTAATTGATAGCTAATGGTTTAATACTCTTAAGCTTCTCATTCTGTGGCCCTAGGATGTGCATGAAAGATTTCGTACAGAGGCCCATCATAACATTGTCTCACGTTTCAATGAGCGGTTTCTACTATCTCTTGGCACATGCAAATCGTGTTTGGTCATGGACGATGAACTGAATATTCTGCCAATTTCATCACATGTGAAGTCAATGAATATGTCATCAATTAAAGAGGTAAAAATAAAAATTTTCTTTTTATCAATCATTGGTTTTCTGTCTTATATCTGAGCTTCTGTGACATTGGAACATCTTTGCAAGTTTATATTTTATTTTTCTTGATTTTTTTCTTTTCTAGCTTTTTGGTTTTCTTGATAAATGACATATCTCATCATCATAATTTTTCTCTTATTTTGTTTGTGACGCAACATAAAATCCAGGCTGGGTAGGCTGCAGATTTGTAGAATAGTTTTTTGGGGCTAAAACTCGCACTAGTAAGAAATAATGAAGGCAGAAGTCACATAAACAAAGATCAATCAAAACCAGAACTGATAGGAAACTGATAGGATAAGTAAACTCTTGGTAGCCTGCAATTGATAAGAAGAATAAGTTAGGATACTCTCGCAATTACTCCTAGAAACCTTTAGGCGTTACAGCTAAGGCGGGACTACATCCCACAACCTTAAGAAGACAATTAGTTTGCAAGAATTTAACATAGTGTAAGAAATCTGAGTCTTCTCTAGGAAGAAGTATATCTATGGACTCCTAAATTGAGCAAAGAAGCTTAAAAGACCCAATCAGAATCCAAAATAAGGCCCTTATTTTTAAGGTGTTCCATAATGAAGCTTAGGGAAATATGGGGATATCCTTATCATTGGATTTCTTTTAGCAATTTATTTGCTGCATCAGCCTGTGTTCAATTTCATTTACATGCAAGTTCTCATAACCACAATGGAAAGTCTTTGAACTTTTAATTCAAATGCTTAAAAGAAAAACTGCATGAGGGAGTTTACACTTTGATGTTCTCTACCTAAGGCATTGTTTGGATTGAGGCCTTGCGGTAATGAAAGCGGCAAAAAAGGGAAGTAATCATAGGGAGTTGGTCTTTCTGTTTGGATTGATTTTTGAGTAGGAAAATGTAAGGATTTGCTATAGTTATTTCCTTTTATGTTTGGCTTCCATCCAAAACTGGACAAAAATGGAAGGAACAGAGACGTATTTCTAGTTAATTTACTTTTACTGCCTTTGTTTCATTTCCTTCCATATTTATATTACTCTCTTCATTGTTTTGTTCCAAGTAATCCAAGCAATATTAATGGAATCCACTTTCCTCATCTCTCCTTTTCTTTCTTTTCCACCTGAGTGGTATCCTTTCCTTATCTTCAATCCAAATGGTGCTGACAGATGCTTCACGGATTACCATAAGGGCCTTGTGCAACAATTCATGCCACAAGCAACTGTATCTTAGTGTGACCACCCCCTTTTGCAAAAGAACTTGACATTACCTACTTTTTCAGATCAGAAATTAAATTGGATGTTTCCAAATGTAGTTGCTCTCAGATCTTATTGGTACTTGTCCACTGCATGTGAACTTAAATACCCTTTGCAGCACAGTGGTATTGAATTGAAGTTGTTTTTACTTCCTTCTTTCTATTGTGAGCTCAGTTGTGAACAGGCACAATTTTATGCCTTTTACAGCCATTCTTTGGAAAGGAAAAACATGCCTCCGGGTGTCATGATTTTCTCTTTGAATTGGTTGTGGTTTTTGGTACAGATATTGTTTCTGTTAGTTGTTAGGTAAAAGTGATTGCATATGATCTCATTGAATTTCAAAATGCAGTAAAGCAGATTATGTCAACTGAAAATTAAATCCCGAGAATACTGATCAAGTTGCTGGTCATTAAGTGAAATCTCTTTGTAAGCTGACTGTTTTTTTCTTATTTATTTATCTATTGTTTATTCATTATTTTTTTGAATGAAGGGTCAATTGGTATCTATAGAGGGACAAGATCTGTTGAATGTTAAGGAGCAGCTGCATGATGTCTTTCCCATCGGTCCATTAGTTAAAATTTGCACTACACTGGACCAGGTAAATCCACTCATGAACTAAGGTTATTAGCTACTAACTCTATAGAATGGTTGTACAATTTATCTTATGAAATTGGTCTTTCTTTTGAAAATGTAAATTAGACAAAAGCAGTATCAACTTTCCTTGATGCAATTTTGGATAAAACACTGCAAACTACCATCGCATTGACGGCATCCCGTGGACGAGGCAAATCAGCCGCTCTGGGATTAGCAATTGCAGGAGCCATTGCTGTGGGGTTAGTTTATATTCTGTATATATATCTTTCCTTCTTTAAAAGGAAAAAACAACTTTTTGTTTACTTGGTTTCTTGTGAATGGATCAATTGGTTTCCTTTCAGATACTCAAATATATTTGTAACAGCTCCTAGTCCACAGAATTTGAGTTCTTTATTTGAGTTTGTCCAGAGGGGATTGCGCGCACTCAAATATGAGGTATGTGGTCGTACAAATTCTGTTGGCATCAACGTAGCTTAAGTTCTTATATTGCTAGAGCTTTTGTTAACTCCTCTGGCTGCAATTTTCTTAACAAATATTCATCTAGTTCAAGTATGTTCTATTTCAAGCATATAAAATGGTCATGCTATAGTTTTTCTTGTTTCCATCCTTTGTCTTCTTATGTCTCCTGGATTTTGAAGTGTTTCATCACTATCATAATGATAGTTTGAGATTTTAGCAATCTCTGTTAGTGCCTTACTTTTTGAGTCTTTTGCAGCTACAAAGTGCTAATTCAGTACCTAAAAGTATTTGCTGTTGTACCTCTATGATAATGTGCACTTCTCTTTTCTCTCCAGGAACATTTGCATTATGATATTCTAAGAAGTGATGCTTCTGATTCCCGAAAAACTGCGGTGCAAATAAACATCTACAAGCAACATAGGCAAACAGTTCAGGTGAATCACCAATCGTTAATCTCAATATTGGTTTTTTACATCTGAAAATTATTAAGTACAGAAGACAGCTTTCATGGACTGGTGCACAACTGTTTGGGTTTTTACTCCTTTTATTAACTTGCTGTTGTCAGATACTATTGGCAGTCTTTGATTGTTATCTTCCTTTCTTTGTGTAATTTCATTTATCAATTAAGTGCATTTCTCAGGCCATGCAAGTTGCAAATTCTATTTTGTGTTTAAGAGAACAAAATGTGTGGTTCATAATAACTAGGTGATGATTTCCTCTGCTTTTTGTTGCATATTTTTGGGTGCTTCAGTTACATACTTTGAGTGATCACAATTTCAAGTTTCCCTGATATTTTCAAAAAATCACTCAAAATTCAAAACATAGAATAAGTAGGAAGCGCAAAGATTTTGAGATCATTGTTTCTGAGTAGAGGTGTCAAAATGGGTGATTTGGCCAGGTTTGGGCGAGTCATAATTAGGTAATGGGTATAATTGAGTCAACCCATTTATACCCATTTACTAAATGGGCATGAGTATACCCAATTATCCATTTATGAGTCACTTAAAATTCTACTTATTTTTTTCTATTTTTTTGCATGTTATTTGACAAGAAGTAATGATATTTTATTGTTATTAGATTGATAAAAGATTCAAATTTATTTGCTTAGCACTCACTAAAAGTTGAGTTTAAATGTATAATTATTTTTAAATGGGTATAAATGGGTGAGCTGAATCAACCTACTAACCATCAATTAAATGGATTTAGTTGGGTACCTATTTAGACCCATTTAAAATTAATGGGTGGGTTTGTGCAGGTTATTGGTGGGCAGGTCAACATAATTGGGTTGTTATTGACACCTCTACTTCTGAAGATAAATAATTGGCATGTTACTAGTAGCACATCAATGTGACATATTACAGATATTGGAGTTGACCTAGACTGTGGTTAAGATGTGAAAGGCCTTGGATGCTGTGTAAATGCTTTGACAACTTCTGCATCCAACCTGTAGGCATAAGATTTATTTTCAACATGTGCAGTACTGGGGCTTTATTGCATTAAATCATCATTTCAAGATAAATTGACACTGTTTGTTCAAAATGAGTTATAACGCATTTCTTAACAGTATGTCCAGCCTCGTGACCATCAGAAACTCTCTCAAGTTGAGCTTTTGGTCATTGATGAAGCAGCTGCTATTCCACTTCCTGTTATCAAATCCTTGCTTGGCCCTTCCTTGGTTTTTCTGTCATCTACAGTGAATGGGTATCGCCATCTTAGTCCTTTCTCCTCTCTCTCTCTCTCTCCCTCTCTCTCTCTCTCGCTTTCTCTTGCACGTGTGCGCACACACACATGTAGTGGTCAGCTTCTTTCTAAAGACTTTTTGCTGTAATTTTTTTTATTTCTTTAGTCCATTGTCTAGAGGAAATATGCTTTGGAGTCGTCGAATAAAGTTTGCAATGGCTTTTGAAGGTTATAAATTCTGATACTTTCCTTGCAGCTATGAAGGCACTGGCCGTTCTTTATCACTGAAGCTTCTAAGTCATTTGGAAAAGAACAGTCAGATATCGGCTGCTGGGAAAAATGACTGTCATTCAGGTATAATTTATTTACATTCCTCTCCTTGTAGCATGTTAGCCTTGCCATGCAATTTACTTGTGTCTTTATTTATCCTATTCATTATGTGTTATAGTAGAGGACTATAACAAATTGTGATTCCTCATATACTTTTTTCTATTTAAGTATGAGGAGAGAACACTTGAAACTCTCACTTTTTTGCAGTTTAACAAAACAAATCCTGCAATTTGTATGTATCCTCTTGCTGCATAACAATACTCATCAGTTGAAGAGGGGGTAATTAGATGGACAATTCATGTGAAATATATTTATTGCATGCATACTACCTTGAAGGAGGAGTAGATAGTTTGAACTTGTGAGTCGTCCTAGCTACTATGGTACCTTTCGGTCACAAAAGCAATAACTGAATAAAAAACTTGTGTGCCATTGCAGAATGAGTTTTCCAGTTTTTGGTATACATTGGCACATTAGGGACATAAAAAGGTTGCCAAAATTTGCATCCAGGAATAAAGCCACTCCAATTGAATGAGATAAGTAGAGAACTTTGAAGTGCTTGTGCTGGTCAATTTGAAATAGAAACTTTGAAACAAAGATTTTATGCTTAAAATCCTATGCTCCTTAGTAGAAGAAATACAAATGGTCACAGAGAATTTTGGTTATATATTTGTATTTAAGCTTCTTTAGAATTTGGACACTTCTTTGGATAGAATATTTTGTCAAGTTCCTTCAGGATGTTCTTTGGCTGTCTAGAGTAATTATAGTTGGCAGTCTTGAGTAATTATAGAATCTATCACAGCTAAAACAATAATGGTGTTGGTAATGATTGTCAATGGTCAATCTACCTCATGAAATAGGTAAAGTCATTTATGGATCTATACTCAGCTGTTACAATGATGCTCTTTTTTTATGACTGTCATCTCGTAATTTGTCAATCTTTATGGTAAAATCAGTGTACACTATATGCGATTTCTCTCATGTCATGTCATGAGTTTATTTGTAGCTATTGTAGTTTGTCATTCTTTTTATTGTTCAGTAAATGGACTCTTTTCTTGATATAGTTTCAAATATGTGCTGCAGTTAGGAAATTTCAGAAGTTGGAACTGAAAGAATCCATCAGATATGCTGCTGGGGATCCTATAGAGTCTTGGCTGAATAATTTACTTTGCTTAGATGCCACAAGTTCTGTGCCACCAATAAGCAGGTTTAGCATATTCAGAGCTAGAGTGAGTGTATTTCTTTCTACATAGTTTATGACTTCCCTTCTTGTTGCACTTTTAGGTTTTGCCATCCGAGTGAATGCAAGTTGTATTATGTCAACAGAGACACTTTGTTTTCCTTCCACAAAGAAAGTGAAATATTCTTGCAGGTACTAGGAATTCTTCAGTAGCCTTTCAGAGAAGTTTGTTTGGCTTCTGCCTGACTGCTCAATGAACCTGCATTTACTTCATTTTGAGCTCACGACTTGTAACTTATTTTTCGCTGTTCCTCATATCTCTCTTGATACAGCAAATAATGTCTCTCTTTGTTGCATCTCACTACAAAAATTCTCCAAATGATTTGCAATTGATGGCTGATGCTCCTGCTCATCACCTGTTTGTCCTTCTAGGTTTGTGCCCAGGCCTAAATATTCCTGATAATTCTACTCTTCGTAACTCAGATGAATCATTTGCATTCTTGTACAGGTCCTGTTGATGAATCCAAGAACATTCTCCCTGATGTTTTCTGTGTACTTCAGGTGAGTACACTTTCCTAATTTTCTCTTCTTTTCTGATCTTTTGGCTCGCTATTGGTACTTGAGCAGAAACAATTGATTACAAAATTTGAAATTTGGCATTTGACAAGTTGCAAAATTTTGAGCAAATATAACAGGGCTAAGGTTTTTCAAAGTAGATTGATGGCCTTTGAATCAATTGTTCTTGTAATCTGTCATGTGCTACAGTATTTCTAATTCGATGAAAACATTCAATCCACAAAGAAATGCGAAATAATTTTCCCGGATTTGGGTATGAAGCCTAAAGCCTATAGATTGCCACCAAAGTCGTTTGGTTTTGCATCATCTTTTCTTCAAAATTAAAACTTGCATCTGTCAGTTAGCATCTGTAGTCTATAGATGTTCTGAGTGTACCTCTATGATCCTTGATTGGTGTTATAGAAGTAAGCTTCTAATTTATTATTTTTTTCTTTTTTTGGAATTTTGCTCATGCATTAGTTTGAAATAACTTGTCAATGTTAGAACTTTTGCCACAAGAAGTATTATCTCGACAATCTTTATTTAAGTATCGTTTTAAATATAAGAAATCAATGTATTACTTTAGTTGTAGTTGAATCTGAATAGATTGATTGTAAGATCTTTATAACTGGATTCCAGTGTTTCGATTGATGGACTTGATAGCTCGATTATGGAGATCAGATTGATAACTTGATTTTAGGGACTAGATTGGTTCTAATCTTGTATATATATTGACCTCTTGATTTTCCAGAAAGTGTGAGAATAAACAAGATATGTTTCTGACTCATCCTACCATTTATTTAGTCTTTTGCCTTTTCCATCATATGGTTTTTCATTACAAATTCTTATACTTAGATAACTTGCTATACTGTTAATTTGCTGTGATTTCATTAATTTGGGCAGTTTGGTCTTTCTTGTAGTCTGAAGTTCATTCATTATCTATGTTATATTATTGAGTTATATCTTTCAAGGGTAAAGGTTGAAGCCCTAGTTGAAGGAGAAGGTTTGGAATCTATCTGCCAGACACGTCTCTATTATTTCAAGAGACCTACCTCCACATAAATCTCTTGCATGTGAAGCCTTCTGATTCTCATCCAACTTAATTTGATGCCTAAGATTTCTACCTGGGGCCTCTTAATTTTTCTTGCTTTCTTTTTCTTTCTTCCAATTTCCTATACTTATAGCCTTGGGCTGGGCAATTTAAGTACTGAAGTTCCGAATATACAGCTGCCTGATGACATTCAGATACTAATTTGCAATTTCCTTTCTACGAGCATTACATTTATGCCTTCAAAATTTACTTTGCAGCAGGAAGCAGTATTTACAGCAAATATTTATCAATTTATATGTTAGGTAAACAGTACCTTTTGTGTAAGCACAAATGCATAGGATGTGTTTTTCTGTGTCTTCAGAGATCTGCTCTTCATTTACAAGATAAAATTGTTTAAGACAAAATCTTAAAGGACACTTGAAAGAACATATTCTATTTCCATGCAATAAGTAGCTGGATGCACAAACCTGTATAAAGTTACTTTTTAGCTCATTGCAAACATTTAAGCTGAAGGCTTCTCAATTGTTTGGTGTTTAATGCTTTCATTAATGATGTACTCTTTTGGAACTTTGGCTTTTATTTTAAACTTGGTAGTCCTTTGAATCACAAGTTTATTTGAACCTATCTGAATGAATCATGTATCTTAATGTTACTCCGACATTTCCAAACCATTTTTCCATTTTGGCTGTCACCTACGACAGCGTGTTTGTTCTTTTTGTTGGTGTTTCATCTCACTTGTTCTTGTTGCATGTTCATTAATACAAGAGGTTTCACAAATGTAGAGTATGTAGGATGCTGATTGGCTTCTGAAGTTGTCACATTCTTTCCTCTTGTACATCCTTATTGTTCCTTTTTTTAACATTAAGTAATGGTAGTTGTATTAGACCTAACAACTTATGCTCCATATTTATTGCTTTTGCCATAAAAATATCTAGAATACTCCTCTTCATCCTGATCACCAGTCTTAGTATTCTTCTTTGGTTTCTGTTGACCTAACAAGCGGAATTTTTGGTTGGATACCTAATGTCCAATGCTTGTTATTCTTCAGCTTGAGCACCAGCAAGTTGTGGTGGTGATCGTTGTTGCTTGTCTCTTGCAGGTCTGCCTTGAAGGACAAATTTCTCGAGATTCGGCATTGCAATGCTTGCATAAAGGCCGTCTTCCTTCTGGTGATCAGATACCATGGAAGTTTTGTGAAGAGTTTGAAGACACAGGATTTCCTTCTCTATCAGGTGTTCGCGTTGTCAGAATAGCTGTCCATCCGAGTGCATTGGCGGTACTACGTAACTTTTGTGATTCACCCCCATTCTCTAGGTTCATTGTTTTGTTTAAAGGGAGCCTGTGGTTTTGCTGCTTTCCCACTATATATTTATGGCTTCTTTTTTTCATGTTGGGCAGCATGGTTATGGCTCAGCTGCTTTGGATCAGTTAACAAGGTTAGTTTTCAAAACTTTTGCTGTGCTTCTTGGTGTCTAAAGAAATGAGACCATGCTGTCCAATGAGTAATTTAACAATTGATTGTGTAATGCGATATCTTTTGTATGCTCCACGGCAGTCCTATTTCTGTCAAGAATTCACTCCTTATGCGTGCTCATTTAACCACCTTGACATATGCTCTTTGTGCAAATGAATGCTTCATTTTGAAATCACAAATTGCATGTACCATGTTCAATTTGGTCCTGATGCTCTGACAGTTTCAAGTTTTGGCAAGTGATTACTTTGACACTTATGGTGCTTTAGGCTTCAGATTTCTTTCTGAAACCATCCTTATTCCGATTTTATTGCTACTTTATTTTTACATGTATGGACATAAAAATATGTTTTTCTTTAGCAAAAAATGTACATCAAAGATGTTTCACCTGAAAATAGCTCTAATATTTGAGTTTTACACATCAAGAAAGTCGTTCAAAGACACAATCATTGTGATATATGAATACCAAACAAATGTGATAGCTTGATGAAAAGATTCTGAGAGGCCAATGGCCAAATTTTCTCTTTTCTGTGGTTTCAAGCTTCCAGGATCATCCATTTGATAGCACAAAACTACTTGATATTTTGGTTTAGATGTATAAGTTGCTGGCTTTTGCTTCCTTTATTTCTGTAACGGCAATATTTTGGAGTTCACCGTTTTATGTAAGTCATACAGGATTGGAATGCGGTGCTAGAAGCACAAGTTGAAATCATTGTCAAATAGATTACTAAGAAACTGAAAGCTTCATTGACTGATAAAAACTTTGTAATGTATGTGTTAATTAATGCTGATCTGTCATAAGATGTATGACCCTTCCATTGACAATGTTTTTGATAGCTGAGCTTGTTTCTTGGCCTGTTTCATATGATGCCTTGAAGTGGACTTGGTCGAAGCAAAAGCCACAGTAAAATGAAACAGAACTCTGAACTTGTATCATCCACTACTAGTGTGTTATTTTAATCAATTATTGTTACTATTATTCCTCAAGTTCATTGTCTTCTGGGGGCCTGACATTAGACGGTTTTTCTGAACTATGTGCTAGACAAAGGAAATTCACTGTTTATGAGTCCTATGATATGAATATGTGGTCTTTTAGATTTGAATGCAATATTCTGCCAGGTATCTCTTAATTTGATCTCTTATGTTGGCATATTTCTTGGTTGCTTTCTTTCGATTAAACACTGATTGTTAGATCTAGCACCACTATAATTGATTCAATCTAGCATCTTTAAAATTTATTCTGACAGAGAACTGTGAGTTTGTGTAATCAGAATGGAAATCAAGAGTTAGAGAATTTTATATTATGACTTGGTGAAATAAAAGAAAAAGCTGGCTATCTAACTTAACTTTGTATGTTACTATTTGGAGCATCTGCTGAGATAAATATTTGTGTGTCCACAGCAAATACATTATGATGCCCCTTTTTTAATTAAGGCACTTGCATTAGATGCACAACTTCTGCATGTAGAATACTTATGCTAGCTTGCCATGCAGGTATTATGAAGGACAGTTGTCTCATATCAGTGAAATAGATATTGAAATGAAAGAGGAGACAACGCTACCAAAGAAGGTGACAGAAGCGGCTGAGAAGGTTGGCCTTTCATTTATCTTCACACTATGAACTAGTGAAGCTTATCTCACTCTACATAAAGCAAGAGCTCTACATTTGGTGTTACCTTTTTTGGTCCCTTTGTACAATACAAAAAATTCCCTTCTATTAATTAGTTTCGATTTTAAAGCGATCGCATTCCGTTTTTGCTTTCCCATGACCATCACCAAAATAAATTACTAGTAAAAAAAAAGAGAGAGAGGAAGAAGAACCTCCTACAACAAACATATATCTTCACACTGTATATGCCAAAATCTCTAGTTACAGATTTTGTTGGTGACTGATCATCGTATTGAGCAGATTTCCTTGCTCAATGGTTTGGAACTTACCTCCTTTCTGCTTCTTTGTTACCCCATGAACCATGCTAGGATGCTGAACGGGGGCCCTGTATGTCAGCTTGATTTTTCCTTAAAGATGTCTGGAGGTCCTTGGGGTGGGATGGGGGGATATCACCCTCTCACTGTGCCTTCTCTTTGTAAACATTGCATAAGCAACCATTACATAAGCACTTATATTTGCAGGTTTCCTTGCTGGAGGAAAGGGTATCCCCTAGGGAAAATCTTCCTCCTCTCCTCGTGCATCTGCAGGAACGATTGCCTGAAAAAGTTGACTATATTGGTGCTTCATTTGGGCTGACTGGTGATCTCTTTCGTTTCTGGAAGAAACATAAATTTGTTCCTTTTTATATATGTGACACTCCGGTAATAATCTTTTGGCCCTTCCTAATTAGTTCTATTTTGGTTGTCTTGTCTAATCTGACTAAGATCCTTTGTGGATCAGAATAATATCACTGGAGAGCACAGTTGCATGGTCCTCAAGCCTTTGGAAACTAATGAAATGGAAGGGAGTAGTGTGTGTTCTCCTGGTTTTCTGCATCCTTTTTACCAGTGTAAATACCCAACCAGAGCATCACACCCCTGATTCTAAAGGTGTTTTTTGGTATCAATTGACTATAAAAAGGGTATTCTATAACGTGATGGATTGTATTCTGCAGGTTTCAGGCAAAGGTTCATGCGACGCCTACCTTTGTGCTTTCAAGAGCTGGATTACAAACTTGCTATGAGGTAGATATGACTAAATATTTAGTTTGACATGCACTTTGCTTAGTCGCTGACCTACTGTCCTTGTGAATAGCATTTTGGACCCAAAAATCAACTACTTGGATCATGAACCTTTGATGTCCTCCAATCGTGAACGTTCCATGCTGATGAAATTAATTATATCAGCAGATGACTTGAAATTGTTAGAGGCATATGCCAATAACCGCAAAGAATATACAAAGGTGATTCAACATTCTTTACTCTTTGATGTTATTAACTTCTCCTGTTATAATTTATAAGACAATGAGACTCCATTGGTTTTCTTACAGATTTTTTAAGATCCATGTATCTTGAAATATTCATGGCCGGAGAATTCTTCATTGGATTGTCTATTGCTTTCTCTCAAACTTTCTAATACCAAATGGGAAAAGTTGAAAAAAACCACATTTAGGAGAAAAAGAAAGAAATTGAAAAAAATTGAAACTTGTCGCATCTGCAGACAAAGCCATTCAATTTGATTTGTTCAGATCTTGTCTACAAAGTTATGCTAAAGAATTTTTTCTGCATGAAGGACTAAGCTGTTAAAAGAGAATGCCATCAGTAAACAAAGGGCGAAAGAAAATGCAACTGCAGGAGTTTCTGATCGATATCCTCTCTCATGACAACATATAACAGAGCTATCTCAGTTCTTCCATGTCTACTAAGTTATATTGAAAAAACAGATCTTGTTGTACTGTGTTGCTTGTTTAGTAATTCCTGCCACATTAAGTATACTGTTCTATGCTGATTGGTTTTATAGATGGAAGATTCATAGATACATCAAAATATGCATAAGTTCTTGTTTAAGATAGAAGAAGAACATTGTAATCCCTCTTATGTAGCATTTTTTTTCCTTATCTCATCTTTGTCTTTATACCCTCTTGGATTCAAATGAAAGCATCAGAAAGTAGTTATATTGTCGAATGATTTTATCTGAATTCACTTACCAGTTTTCAGCTTCACCTAGGTGAAGTAATCTATGTTCTATTTAATACTTGCATTTTACAGGTCAGGGATATGGTGCCACTTCTCGCTCAGTGCTATTTTCAGGAGCAGCTTCCAGTTACATTATCTTACCTTCAAGCATCTATCTTGCTTTGTATGGGCTTGCAGCTCCATGACGTGACTTATATTGAGGTCAGGAAATATGAAACCGAAGATCAATTGGAATCACTTTCTTCAAAGTTTACATAGATTTGGTACAGCGTTTTGGTTCAAGTTAATGGTCTAGAAAAGGAGTTCAGTAAGATTTATCTTATTTGACTGCATACATGTTTTGTCCATAAACCCAATTTTTTTATGAATTTTTCTTTTGTAGCAGGGTAAAATGAACATAGAAAGGCAGCAAGTATTGTCTTTGTTTCGCAAAGTTATGACAAGATTCCACAAGTACCTATATCATGTCCTCACTGAGGAGTTCGAGACGAGTTTTGCCAAACAAAAAGAGGTATATATTTGATCTCCTTTCTTAAGTTAGTTTATTTTGTGCTTCAAGAAACAGTTTTGCTTGATGTCTGATTGTGTAGTTTTGTCTTGCTACTGGTCAATGTTTTATTTGAACCGACAGCATGCTTGGGAATTGTTTGAAACATCTCCGAGGTAGAATATTTGGTCATAGTAGTAGTAGTACAGCTTACTCATTCAGTGGTCAAATTAATGTTCGTGTTATATAGAGATTTAGTGTCAAGTAGTAATACAGCTTACTCATTCAATGGTTGGTGTAGTGAACTTTTAACGAGTCTGATTTTTTTAAATCCAAATAGCTTAGTCCATTTTAACGAAAAATCTATTTACATTATTTCCTCCAGAATGAAAGAATAGTTGATGTGTTCATTGACGCAAAACTTGTAAGCAGCTTGCATAGAGTCCTAGAAGGTGCAGTTGTATGTAGTGAAGCATTACATATCTCCTTTTGAGTCCTCAAAGACATTCCATTGGTCTTTGCTTTGTGGCAAGTTAAGAAGCTAATCGTGCATTGCTTATTAACCAATGGCTTTGGCTTGCTAATGATGTTATTCTGTATTCTGCTTGAAGTTATAAGCTGTTTATACTGTATGTGAGGGATGTAGAGAGAGTGTGACATATGAAGCAGGAAAAAAACTCGCAGATGCATCTCTAAAACAATGTTAAATTTTTGTTCATCTACTTGATTAAAAAGGAGATGGAAGAGACACAGAGTTTTTGGAGATGAACAGAGAATTTGATTACTGTGATGATGAAATATGCAGTTAATTCTCTGGCTGTCTTCTTGAGAGTTTGGAGGAATCTTTGGCTCTATTTGTTTATGTGAATAAAACTAATTGACGAGTGGAAGAAACTAAAAATGCTAATAAAAATGGGGGCGGTATGGATTGTTGTTGCACTACGGATTTTGTTGAGTTTGGAATTTGTGTACCTTTGGTTAAAACATAAAAAGAAGGTTCTTGATAGTGTACATCTGAAAAAGCAAAAAATAGGAAAACAAGTGCTGTATTTCCCCTCAACCTTTAACTTTCTTTTAGGGTTTGTCAAATGTGTAAATTTGTTTTAATTATTATAACTTATTCTGCTTCAATCCCTACATAAGGTTGAATTACTGCCTCATGACATCTCCATGGAAGAGGATTTAGAAGATGGTGCTAAGAGAGTAAGGGTAAGTAGTGCATGGATAAATTCTGGCATTCAAAATGATGTATAGTATGAATTATGAAATTTGGTTGCCTAATGTCTTGTTTGCACACATATTTCAGAAAGAGATGAATCAAGAGAATGTTGGCTTCATAGATCCAAAGTCACATTTACTGCAACAATATTCTGTTGTAGACAGAGAAGCTGACTTTGAGCATGCTCTACGAAGCTGCACTGCAGTATCGCCTGGCACGCTGTTAAGTGTGAAGTCTAACACAAACGGGAATGGAAAGTTGGGGAGCAAGAGGAAAGCTGGAGAAACTAAAAACAGAAAAAGGGGTCACATCACTGGGTCCAAACTGGATCCAGTGGCCTGTTGATGAAATTATTTCTTTCTACAAGATTGTTCTTTTGATTAATTTACGCAGCAGCTAAGTAGTAGGTATCCAGTTTTACACTTGGTCCTGGAAAGAGCATCTGAAGTTGTAAGAAATAGGCTCAATTTTGGCATACTGAGTTTGAGGATCGAGGGCTTAGTAATCCATAGTTGCAGTAGTAATGGAGGGCTCTAGTTTGTGTGACCGGATATCCGAGTGCATGAAACAGTTGTTAACAACTACAGTATTTATCTTCACTGAACTAAGATTTCTCCAATTATCTTATACATAACTACGCAAGTGAATTACTAGTTCGATTTATGCTATTTGCATGAGTAAAAGTAATGGTTGATGAAGAATAAATTCTAACTAAAATATAGTAGTTCCATTTTGCTGAAATTTGATTCTTAGATGGTTCTGTTCAGCCGGGATGAGTTTTTTTTTTCCCCGGTCTTCCTTATGAAACACTTCATGATTTTCATGTGGCTTTTGATAGGTTTTGGGGATGTATATTGCTCCAGAGCTTTGTTATCATGTATCTCCTAGATGCTGAAATAATTTCTAAATTTGTGAAAATGTTTTCAATATGATGAAATTTCTTTAATCACTTAAAGGAATGCAATTTTTTTTTTTTTTTTTGTAATCCTATTAGATGATGGTCATATCGAATTCGACCATATTGAAAAGCCAGTTTTGTTTTACCCCTTTCAGTTTCTATTGTTTGCACTCAAGTCCCATTTGTTTGAACCACATGTTGTTAGACAAATACACTGATGAGATTATTTGGGACAATATTTTTCCATTTTCATGTTCCTTCCATTTTTTTTTCCAGCTTCATGCTAAAACGTCGAGCGCCCATATGCTAAGCCTTTTTCTTTTTCTTTTTTTCTTTTCTTGTCCTCTTTGCATGCTTAAGCATTTTGAGGATACATTTGTATCCAAAACATTAAAAAGAAAGTGAAAAAAAAAGCACTATTTCCCTCATGGAAAGGAAAGGTGGAATGGAATGCCTTACAAAATAAGACTATGGCAGTGCTCTACGGATATTTCAAATAAAACTTGTTGATTGATGTTCATTAAAAATCAAGGGGAAAAAAAAAAAAGAAGAAGAAGACTCAAGTGATAAAAGTGCAAGCAATCTACACAATTTGTTAAGCATAGGAATTTTTATGATTAAATATCATATGTCCCATTTGAATCCCCCAAAATTTTCAATTAATATATGTTTTTGTAGTCCAAAAACAAGGCTGGAGTTTTTAAAAGTAACGATGGACCTGTTTGATAAGTCCACACTGCTCACTGTAGTAAAATGACACAAGTGTTTTTGTCAAAACACCAACATTGTTGTTGATTTTTTGTCCCAATTACCTTCGGCATCAATTTCCAGCGCATTTTACCTTTTTCTCTTTGATGTTCTTGCCGAAGCATAACCCATTCCCTATGATTTGAAGCCGTCGAACAACTCCATCCGCCCAGTAAACTTGATGCGAGATTCTCCATTTCGCAAAAGCTTGCTGTAGTGGGACAAATTTCTCAGTAGCCACGTGTCAGTTCAGACATGATGACCTGTCAGCTTGGCCAACCAATCTACGAATGCCACGTGTCAGTTCGGATGCTGTGATATGACAGCGCGGGCAGATGATTTACGAGGGACTAATTTAAAATCGAACCAATTAGAAGAGGACTAAAATTTAAATTCCCCCGCTTTCGAGCAGACGCATAATAATTCCATGGAAACGACGTCGAAACGTCCATGTTCGTGACACCACAGAAAACCCCTTTCCCCTACACCTGTACAGAGTTTCCAGTGTTCTGCAACAGCGCTCCATTTCTTCTGCAGAAAAAGGACTGAGCAAAAAATGGCGGAAAACGAAACTCGAGATTCACCGCTGTCATTACCAGAAGAACTGCCTCCTCAGCCTGTCGAACAAGTGACCTCAATCAATGGCAACGACGACAACGACCAATCCATGGCCGACGCTCACAACCCTAAGGAAGATTCCGACTCCGACTCCGACTCTGATACCGAGTCCGATTCCGATGACGAAGCTCAACTCAACCTTCAAATTCAAACCCTAGAAGCTGAGCTGTCCAACAACCCGTCCAATTACGACGCTCATGTCCAAGTATTCTTCTCACCACTTACTACCATCTCTCATTTCCTGTAGTGGTTTCAGTACTTCAATCATAGCATCGGATGATGTCGAATATTTTTTATCTTTGAAGCCAAGCTAAAGAAAATATTACGAAAAGAATATAGAGGAAATAGTCTATTATTGGCGTTATATCTGTTATTTTACTACTACTATCAACTGTCTGAATTGTATGCTTTTTCGTTTTTATTGGTGATGATAAGTAACTATGTGATTTTTTTTTGGTTGAAAAGTACATTAGAGCTCTGAGGAAGCAAGGTGATGTAGAGAAGCTGAGACAAGCAAGAGAGGCAATGAGTGCCTTGTTTCCATTGAGTCCTGAGCTGTGGCGCGAGTGGGCTAGGGATGAGACTACTCTTAGCTCAGGGTATTCAAATATTTCCCCCTGATATCTCCAATTTACTCGTGCACTCTGGTTTGCTTTGTGGACATGATCGTTTATATTAATGATCAGAAGACAAGTTTTGCATCCTTATGTGTAGTATTCAACTAAATCAAACTTCTAGCAAGTGTTTGGGTAATATTTTTTTATACATAGCTAGAATATGTTTTCAGCAAACTTAAACCATCGCTCTATCAGGAAGTGTTTGGGTAATATGTCTGATACATGATCAGAAACTTCTTGGCTATCTTTTGACTTTATCTACACACACAGTTCTAGATTTTTTTGTTTTTTTAAATTTTAATCCACCCATTGTGTTTCTAATTACAGCATTTGGGGAGGGAACAAAAAGGAACAAGGGAGGTATAGATTGATTATGGAAATCTAGCTGAAACATTTTGGGAATGGATACAGGACTTCAAGCTGGAATGTTATGTATCTTAAAAGCTTTGGAACTCTCCTTTTACATCTTTGTTTTGTTTTGTATCCTTGCAATGTATTCAAGTTTCTCTGGCTATCCTTAGGAATGCATTCATTTTCCATTGGAGGTCTCATGGTTCCTCTTTTGAATTTATTAATACCGAGCAGCTAGCATCCTTGCCTTTTCTCTTAAATTCAATTTATATCTATGAGAACTGCAATTTATCTTTTGGTTAAGCATACATTCACAACTAGCCAAATTTAGGTTAGATACTCCTAAATCTGGATTTGACTCTCTCTCTCTCTCTCTGGTCACACACACCCATGCCCTTGTGAAACACAAGCATGCAAATGCCTACTGCCCCCCTTCCACTCTTTCCCTATCTCTCTTGCTCATACTTCTTGCTGACTTCCTGTGAAGAGTAACAAATGATGTGAGTGATGACCAGAGGCCCCAAGAAGTCAAGATTAATTGAACTGTTTCATATTGTCCTTCTCCTTCTTCTTCATCATCTTTTTCTTTAAATTTTTGGTTATTGTCATTTTTTTCTAACAATCAATAAGAATTCAATTACTTGTTACTTTTGTCCCTCTCCACCCAATATAGCAAATTTGCTGAGGTGCAACTGCAGTCATCTGCAGAGATTTATATCTCTCACTAAGCTTCAAAATATCAGTACATAGGCATTGTTTTTAGAGTGATTTTTAGATATATATATATATATATATATCTCTGTGAGGGTAAGTAGTTCTTTAGTGAAATTTGATGTTTGTGGAATTTCTGATAAGATGATCAATTTTTTACCTGATGTTACTGGAGTGTATTTGCTCCTGCCAGATCATGACTGCCTGTTCCAAATTTTTTTTTTGGTGGGGGGGGGGGGTTTCATTCTTTTCTATTCTTCTGTGGACAACCTGGGATTTAAATTGATCAAAGCTATGGTCCTAGAAGGTTAAGCTACTATGACAGGATATTTTCAGGTATTCCATAAATTGATATATTAGATGGATTATCTCTTTTTTCTTGTTCATGATGCATTTTTGATATGCATTGCAGCTATTACCTTTCCTTTAGTGTTTATTGACAATTTTTTTGACTCTATCTTTCTTCATTAAATTATTTTGCAGACCTGAAGCTCTTCCTGCAATTGAGCAGCTTTGTGAGCGTGGAGTGTTGGATTATTTGGTTGGTGATTTCTATTCAACTTGTGACTATTTTTTATGTATGTAAAAAGGATTTTAGGGGTTCAAGCTTTCGACATAGCCAATGCTGTACTCGAGATCAAAATTTTAGTTTTTTTTCCCCAATTCAATGTAGGACTGTTATTTCTAGAATGGATCGATAAATATTACTTTTCTAGAAAACACTTTGTGGCATTAGCAATTGGAAATATCTGTGCTGAATAGTGTATCTAAGTTTTCCAGTATTCTTTTGTTACTTAGACGATGTTTAGATGGTACTCCCACTCCCTTTATATTGGTTATAATCATTACAGCTGGTTATCTGCATCCATTAATTATGGAAATGCTTTATGAAGGTTGAAATTCATAGGCTCATTGTATTGTACTACATGGGATGTAGAATGCTTGAATTTTTTTTTTTTGACTACCAGACCAAGGGTTAGCACTGGGATGACCGCCTAATCTTTGATTGATTTCACAATATTGAATTTCAGAATCTGTCTCCAGCCTGGACAATGATTTGTTTTAGTCTCATTATGATTTCACTTTGCAGTCTGTTGATCTATGGTGTGACTACATAAATTTTGTTCAAGATTATGATCCATTGGTACGCGAATGTTCCACTAATGGTATCTCAAAGGCAAGAAATCTTTTTGAGCGTGCTGTAATAGCTGCTGGACTGCATGTTGCTGAAGGTAGCAGGATTTATGAGGCCTATAGGGAATTTGAGCAAGCTATTGCTTTAACCATTGGAGAAACTGATATTGAGGTCATTTACATTTTCTTTTCCTCTCTCTCTCTCTCCCCACATGATACACACGCGTTAGTGCATGTACCTAGCTATCTTATTTTCTTTCTCTTTCTGAAGTGACCACATCATTTTAGATGTGTTTTCTTTTGCAATTTCAAGTCTATTATGTTATCATTATGTCTTTGTTCTGATGCAGTCCAGAGAAAAGCAGGTCCAGCTTATTCGGAACTTATTTTTCCGTCAGTTGTCTGTTCCCCTTGCTAACCTGAGATCAACTCTTCTTACTTACAAAACTTGGGAAGCAGAACAAGGGAGCACTCTTGGGGTTGACCCTAACTCCTTGGATGGGCTTCCTTCGAATGTTGCATCTGCATACCAGAAGGCTTTGGATCTCTTGAATGCTCGTACTCATTTTGAAGAACAAATTGCAAGAAAGGATATCCCTGATGATGAAAGACTTCAAAAGTTCATGGTCTGTACGTACAATGTTCTTCAACATGTTGTTGGTTTGTTTTTCGAATTGCTCTTATAAGGTGGTTCATCGCACGGTCCATGATAATAAGGAAGATATTGTTCTTACTAAAATGTGTGTGTGCGCAACATTCTTCAGCGTGTTGTTCATTCATTTTTAGTATCTATCCTTTGTACATTTTTTTAGCTGGAGAATTCTTCAAATAAATTTAGTTGTTAAGTTAGAAGTTTGCTGGTTTTTTAGGTGGAAATTGGTTAGTTACTGACTTCTTGTATCAAGCTATACTGCTGTGAATTTAATACACAAAATACCTAGGCATTATACCTTCTCTTCACTTTTCCTGCATTTTTTGTTACCTTCCTTGCTATGGTTTAAGCTTGTCAAAGTATGCTTAGTTCACCACTCAATGGATCTGTTGGTGACCTAGTAACTATAAACCTTTGTAAAATAAGTACCTATTATATTTGAACTTGCATGCATTTAAAGCAGCTATAACTAGTGCAATTACATCATATTGCTAGGGCAGTTAACCCACTTATACAATCAATGAATTATGGCATACTTGTTTTCTGTTTCTTGCAGACCTATTTGAATTTTGAGCAGTCAATGGGGGATCCAGCACGCGTTCAAATCTTGTATGAACGTGCTATAACTGACTTTCCAATATATGCTGATCTCTGGCTTGATTATACTCGCTACCTGGACAAAACAATTAAGGTTTTCCATTAAGTTACTTATTCTGTTTTTTCTATGGTAAGTTCCGGCATTATAAGTTGATTAATTCTTTATTTCAGACGTCAAGTACAGTGAAGGCTGTTTATTCTAGGGCAACAAGGAATTGTCCTTGGGTTGGTGAACTATGGGTTCGATACTTGCTACACCTTGAACGTGTGCATGCTTCTGAGGAAGAGCTTTCCACTGTATGTATCTGCTATTTTTAGTCTGATGATGTGCTATGTTTTCTAAAATGATGAAATTTCACATTATTAATCTATTTGTTGATAGTTATTGGATTCTTCATCTGATTACCAGCTTTGCCCCTTAGAATTAGTTATTTACCTTTTCATTTAGTTAGCATCAAAATCCGATTGGATTTTGCATTGACTACCTTGGATTATCATTTATGCTGAAAATTGGGAATATTTAGATGCTGTCTACTTTTACATACTTAACTAATGGGTTGACATCAAGTGATCTCTTCATTATAGTGCCCTAGTGTTATACAGTTTTCTTCAAACTGTAGTTCATATGTGCTTATCATCATGTGCAGTAAAACATGAGGAGGGGAGTGCCTTCTTCTTGCTTGTGATATTTAGTATGGTGGTTATTATTGTCTTATAGCCCTTCAGTGAATTTATTAATGTTCTGACTCGGTATCTGAGATTCTATGGTGCTGGAATGCCTTGATATCTTGTTCAATATTGAAGTCTATTAATACCAGATGGGTGCACTTCATATATTCATCTAATATATGCAAATGCATGGCACCAGGAAAGCAATTTTTTGGGCCAAAAATACTTTCTTTGAAGGCAACACTTATTTGGTGGTTTATGTCTTGTTTGTTTTTGAACGTTAACAACATTATATGCGTTATGTGTTCAAGATGTCCTTAAAGTACACTTGGAGCTTCTATCTCGGTGCATCTTTGCTAGTTCTCATTTCTTAATTATTGTCATTTTGTTGCTTCAGACAAGGTATCTTTATTTGGGCTTCAAAATTCCATCTTCCTACTTTTGTGATTTTGAAAGTTCAGATTGCACTTGAGAGTGAATTCTTATTGTGGGAATCTTGTTTAATCAGCAAAAGAAAACAAAAGAAAAAGAAGTTGCTGCTAGAATAATGCTTCTTGAATTTGTTAATGATCCATATCAATTTATCCTTTATTATTGGATTATTGCACCTGATGATCTAATTTTAATCTATTAAATTCCTTGCATTTCAGGTTTTTGAGAAGTCACTGCAGTGTACATTCTCCAGCTATGATGAGGTGAAAATTCTTCTGGCTGGAGTACGATTAATTTGTCCATCACTAACCATGTGTGCAAGTTTACATTTTCTGTAGAGAGTCAGTTATTGCTAACCTATGATCTAACCATCCCAGTTAATTGATCGTCTGGTTCCACAATCAAACTATCAAATAGGGAAAATGTCAATTAGGTAGTGGTGTTGGAGAATGTGCATTTTTTGTGATGTTTGGTGCTTTCCCAGTGTCAGTTTGTTGACTAATCTGATTATCCTCTATAGATTGTAATCAGGTCGATGATTCTGATTCTTTTAACTTCAAAGTTTATGCCTGCAATTGTAAATTGATCTCCACTAATGTGCATGTGATGTTAACATGAGGGAACACTTTTTTGCAGTATCTGGATCTGTTTCTCACTAGAGTTGATGGATTAAGGCGGAGAATTTCTTCAACCAGTAAAACAGAGGACTGTTTGAACTATGATCTGATAAGGGATGTATTCAAGGTTTGTTTCTTGAACATCATATTCGTAATGCTCAATTTTAATGCTTTTTAACTATCAATATGTGGTAAAGTGTGCCTCCTCTGGTGTTAAACCATCTATATTGGTGCTTGTGCCAGCGTGCATCAGATTACTTGTCTCCACACCTAAAGAACACAGACAGTCTGTTAAGGATGTACAGTTATTGGGCTCGCCTGGAGTCAAAGTTGGGTAAAGACATTGTTGCAGCTCGTGGTGTCTGGGAGAACTTGCTTAAAATCAGGTTTTTTTGACTTTTTATAAGAAGTTTTCTATAAATAAATAAATATGTATATACACACATACATACATGCATCCATGCATGCATGCATGACACGTGCATACACATAAAATGGCTTAAACTTAGCCCTTTTTTCTGCTTGCTTTTTTTGCAGTGGTTCTATGTTAGGAGCTTGGGAGGGTTATATAGCTGTGGAAGTTGCAGAAGGTCATATAAATGAAGCTAGATCTCTTTACAAGAGATGCTACACTAAAAAATTCTCTGGTACAGGCTCAGAGGTACATACTTGTGCTGCAAAATGTGAATTTTAATCTCGTACTTGTATAATTACAAGTAGTAGCATGTAATATACCTTATCTTTGCCATCCCATCCTTCTACTCTATGAACTGTGATTATGTTGCACAGAGTCTAGGTGATCTTGATCATACAACTTGTGTCATATGTGAATAAAGCATTTGAAAGGGTCCTGGAATAGAAGGGTGGAAAAACACCCTGTTGTCAACATCATGTAAACTGTAATGTATTGAAGGGTTTCATCCTTAATCTTATTACTGTATTTGCTTGTCATTTACTGTTCTAGAACACTTATCTCAAAATTACTTGGTTTACATAGTGCTTCTTTTGCATGCTACTTGTCCAAAACTGCAGCTGACACCAAGGCTAGAGAAGAGTTTAAAAATCAGTAAGAAAGATAAGGATGAGTTGTTGTCAGTGAACAAGGCACTTGTACCTGATCTTGGATCAATGAGAAACTAGATGTTAGCTGATTGACCTTAATCATGATTTAAGCTTTGTTGATTTATCTTAAAGTGGTTTGACTGTCTAGTGATGTCTATAGAGTAATAATTGTACACTACTATTATTGCGCTAGTGTAGAATGGATATTTGTAGAACTTCTATTTCTTATAGGTTTTATAAAGCTTACAGAGAAATGAGTTAAAACTTTCAGGATGAGTGTGATTTGCGGTTTGAACATTTGAACTCTTAATTGACATCATCATTGTTACCTTATTTTGCATTCTATGCTTGTCAATTTTGATGGAACGCGGCTATTTGGTGCCTTCTGAAAGCTGAGCATTTCCTTAATTGACTTGATGTGCGTTAACTTTGCTCAAGAATCTCAACATTATTGGAACTAGTAATGTAAGAATTTTTAGATTGAGTAAACTGAAAATGCATTGTGTAGCTCTGTAGTTGACCCTGTAGTGCTGTCGAACTTTCCTGTTCTTACTTCGATTACTTTTGGTACATCTTGAATTGTATGATACCTTCTCTGTCTAAAAAAACAGAATCATTCAGGATATATGCCATTCGTGGCTTTGCTTTGAGCGAGAGCATGGTTCTTTGGAAGATTTTGATATTGCTGTGCAAAAGGTATGCATTATTAGCTTTTGGAAAGATTGAATTTTTGTACATTTTAGTACTTGGAAGATGTGTTAATCATATTCTCATCTTTTCGCCCTTCTCACCTCAACTCCACTCCTACCCCTCCCAAATAAAAATAGGTGACTCCTCGTCTAGAAGAGCTACAGTTATTCAAGACTCAACAAGAGACCAAATCTGCTGGATCATCTGATCAGAGAGAAACCATGAAAAAGACTCCACGAGAAAAGAGAAAACTGCATTCTGATTTGACTGAGGACCAGTCTCCTGCAAAGCGTCGGAAAAACATGTCTCAGAACCTGAAGATGACTAATGAAAAAGATCGAGTTGAAGCAGCAGAATCGGTTGAAAAAAGTAAAGTTGAAGTTATTTCCACCAAACCTGAAAGTGCAAGCAAGAGAGAAACTAATGATCAGTCCCCTAGAAAACCGAAACATTACAATGACCAATGCACTGCCTTTGTTTCAAACATTGGTGTTCAGGCAAGCTGCCTATTGCCTTGCTTTTCATTCCTTCATTTAGAATTTCATTTTTCTATTGACTTGCATTGTGGACTCATACACAACCTTTTTGCTGTGTTTATTGTAAATGCAAATGGTTGTTAATGACTCGCAGGCAACATATGAAGACCTGCGTGCCTTTTTCAGTGATGTTGGTGGGGTGGTTGCTATTCGTATATTAACAGACAAGTTCACAGGAAAGTCAAGGGTATATCTCACTCTCTCTATCTACACACACACACACACACACATATTATGATTCTAAATTTGAGATGAGAAAAATAGACGTCCACGAAAACATTTACCATTTCCATGTTCCACATTTGGGTTTCTAATTTATCATATGTTTGGGTGTCTAGAGATTCTATTAGATGACAAGCATCTTTTTCTCATGCTTATTCTTCAATTTTTAGGGTTTGGCTTATGTGGATTTCTCTGATGATGCACACCTTGCTGCCGCTTTGGCAAAGAACAAGAAGAATTTACTGGGTAAGAAAGTGAGTATTGCTAGGTCAGATCCTCAGCATAGCAAAAAGAAAGGAACATTTGGACCTAAATCCACATCAAAACATGGTATGATTTTATTCTCATGTTCCAACAGCAGTGCCCTTTCACTATGTTTTGACACCTGTGAAAGCATACCTGTTTATTTTATAGTTGGATTATATAGCTACGCATGTTTCTAATTGTGTCTCCTGCCTTTTTCTGGGTTCTGAATTATCAACTTTGCTATCAGGTGGAGTAGATGTTTCCTTTGGTTCTCCACCTAAACTAGAGGCCTTTTGTTTATTTTTCTGTTATTTAAAAAACTATTGGAGGCTTAGACAGAAGAGTCGTTGAGAAGGTTTTGTTACTAGAATCTGGAGCTTTTGTGCAAAAGTTAGGTAGTTGTAGGTTTATGCCAATTTTATATCCAAGTTTACCTGAACTATCCTATACTTCTTGTAATATGTAATCTGGTGATAGGGTGCTTAGTTCATAAAATTAAATTTTGCGTTTTAGCATTCTCTCTCTCTCTCTCTCTCTCTCTCGGTAACAAATCCTTCTCTCTTGTTTGTTAAATTATCAAGGCCAATATCCTTCATCATGTTACTTACTTCGAGAAACCAAATGTTCCCTACTATGAAAAACTTTTGCTTATGAAAATTTTGATTGACCAGTTGAAGGTGCGATTCTTTTGAGTGTGTTAATGGCTCTTGTTGGATGAGTCTTTAGCTGTGTTTGGTTGTACTGCTCAAATTGCTGCCTTATCCATTGTGTATAATCTTACCGGTTTATGGTTTTATGTGATTTTTGGTCCTAGGTAATATTAATTTTTGTTTCAGAAGTTCTCTTGTGGATCTTGTGAATCAGTTGTTCTCTTACCTAGGTGTATATGATTCATAAACATTTTTTTGGCACCTTTTTAGAGCAATTCGGTTCGGATATTTGCTAAACAATTAGGAGATTCAGTTTGATTATGAGGAATAAAAGGCCTGCCTTTGATAGTTACTGAAGAAAAGTACTAATTTGTGTCTTTGTTTTGCTAGTTTTTAACGGGAAGAACAGTTCTTCATTGCACTGCTATTGTCTCTTTTCCATAGTGAAAGTCAGTCTGATGATTTGCTTTACGTCTTCTGCTGGAATCATTTAATTCCACCTTGCTATATGTGTACTCGTATAGGAAATCAGGGTTCATGTTATTCAAATGCTGATTCACCCATTGATTAAGCCTTGCCCATTTTGGCCTTCTTTTAGCATTTTTATTTTCTTTGACAACCTGAGAACTTGAAATGATAGGGGTTGGTGACAATCAATCTGCCAATGCTGGACAGTCCGACTCAAAAGATTCAGCTTCCAGACCTAAGGAGCATAGTGGATCTCAGGCACAAGTTAACAGCCAAAAGAGTCGGGATGAGAGAGTGGAATTAAAAGGGAAAAACACATTCGCTGTACCAAGAGCTGTGAGGCCCTTGGGTTGGTCCAGTGAAAAGCCTGGGGGAACAGAGGGTGATGGAGATGAGAAGCCTAAATCTAATGACGAGTTCAGGAAGATGTTTCTGAAAAAATAGACTCAAGAGACTGTATATATCCTGTATCATGCCAGCTTTGGTATTTTTCTTAGATTAGTTTTTTTTTTCCTCGATAGGTTTAGTCCTTGCTGACAACTCTGTTTATGCTAGCATGCAAGTGAAAGTTTCTTTAATCGGACAAATCAAATCAGCAGGTTGTTCAACTTGAGTAGTTCAATGTTCTTTAAACCAAAAAAGGTGCATGATTTAACTGCTCTGTTCTTGGAAAAACCTGGCCTGTTGGAGTTATCGGATCTCTTGTTAACCTCGAATTGCACATTATACTATTTGTTGTTCTCAGTAAGGTCAGAATTTCGTGTTTTTTAAGAATCGTAATTCACTGGAGTGTAAGAATTTTGTCCGAAGTCGAGCCTGGTGTTTTGCGTTTATAGCAGTTCAATGTGGGTAAGATGGTCAAAACCCATTTATCTTTTTCTTTGTTCTCTTTTCTTGAGGATTGAGGCTCGCATTTGAGTAGATTTGATTTTCAAAGATCCAATGGTGATCTTGATTACCCGGTCTTCAAGTCAAGTTCTAACATCTACATATGCGATTTTCTGTACATTTTGAACTGAGTATCCGTTGCTTTTAATTAAAGTATTTGACAATATAATGGTGATCTTGATTATTGGGATTTCTTTATCCTTCGGGTAAATTTTTGAAGAAAATAAAGAATGAACTGTTTGAAGGTTGTTATTGTCTTTTTATTTTTTCCGAGCTGGTATTGCCATTAATGAATCTGATTCTTTCTAAGGGGCAATTCTGAATTTCTGATGGGCCTTTTCCTTTCTTTTTTTTTTTCCTTCCTTTAGGTTAAGGTATTTCATATTTCCTTCCCAGTTTATTTGATAGGGAGGAGGAAGACTGGCTTTTACTGTAATATATTTTACTGGTACAACAGTAAAGGCTGCGTAGAAGAGTGGCCCGGGTGAGAGGCGATTGAAGAGAGTTTTGTTTTCACTGAATGAGAACACACTTCTAACTCAGAAATTAAATATATAATGTATTTAAGACTGATTTAAATGCTTCTGACTAGGATGCATAGAGAAAATGAAAAACAAAATTTAAAGTTTAGATTGATTTTATATGTAATACCACTTAGATATGTTGGTATAATCAAACATAGGGAAATGGATACGTTAAAACTTTCGATATTTTCCCTTTTTTTTTTTTGGGTAATTTTTATGCTAATTCGAATTTCAACGTAAAAATATGATACCAACAAAAAAAAAAAAAAAGGGTCGTAGCATCTTCCTAGACTGAAAATGCAGAGATCAAATTGCATATCTAACTGTAGAGGTGAGATAATCTTTTCCGAATTTCTAACCAGAGAATGACTTGAAAAATCCAGTCTATCGCACAGTTAGTGAACCACAGGGCCTTAATTCATCCGATCAAACCTCCAACCACGCTTAAAAGAGAGCCATATCTACATTGGAATTAGGACTGTGACCCTGAGTTACAAGAGTTTGGACCAGTGGAAAATATCGAACGGTTGTAATCAGATCACCCACCCAAACCAATGTCCGTGCAACAGTAGTATGACTTCAGCAAGTTACAAAATTGCAGTGTACCACCGAATTTGAAATCCCATTTCTCCTTTGGAGCTTTCTTACACGGGACAACCAATCTGACACAAGTAAATCTGCAGTCACAGACATCGGTGATTCTTTATGTAAATCCATGGCGTAATGGTTTCTTGCTTGCTTAGTACTTTGTTCAAGATAACAAAGTTAATAAACTTGGCACACTAGCTAAACAAACTCTCATGCATTATTCAGAGCTTTGTCAGTGATTCTTTAAAATAGCTCATCTGCAACTTCTTTTCCCCTTGTTTTTTGGGGTTATCCAACTTTTGCTTGTTTTCTTGCTGGCTGCATTAAATGCAGATATCTTCACTCAGATTAATGGTGGTTGAGTTTGCATCACAGTCAGGAAAGTACAGTAGAGGACCTGGAAATGATGATGTACGTACCAGTGCTGATGAGTCATATCTTTGCTTGATCAGAGATCATCAGATGAGGACAGCCAAATATGACCTCCCCTACACATCCATTTTGACAAGTGAAGCTACCCATGAGCAGCTGTGCGCATTTTGCCAAGTCTTTTGCTATTATTATTACATCCAAAATTGTACATTCATCTCTCCATCTCTTATCTTTCAGCAAATTTTACGCCAAGTTGTTTGTTTCCATTTTGGGTATGAGGGTACTCTTTTATGCGAGGATCAGGTGTGTCCTCAAAAAGATTGGCTCTGAAACTGATAATTTGCCCCAAAGCGTGAGAGGAGAACCTTTTTGTGTTAAAAATAATGCAGTGGAATGGGGGTCATTTCTTGTTAATGATCAAGGGTTTCTTTCTTTTTCTCCAAATTTCTCGTTATCAACTGTATATTATCAAATATTTTTGTCTACTTCTTTTTATTAAAAAAATAAAAACCAAAGATTTGATTCTGTTTGCTCATCTTCTCTTTCAGTAGGAAGCATCTAAGGTATAAAACTAAATGAGCTTGTACTCTAACTAGACCCGGACTTGTATTGCACAAAAGAACGGGTAGCTGGGTGGCTATTTGGCTATCCATGGAACTCCTTCATCGTAAAGCTCATCCGGACTTGAAAATTTTGCAAGTCCACAAAAGTGGTATTTTAAAGATCCCATTTAACCCACAAAGATTGTGGATAGTTTGATGTTTCGGAACAGCAGACATGAAATCACGAAATAAACTGGAAACAGCTGAAAATTTTTACCAACTCGAGGGACAAACAAAATTCAGAATCAATGTGGTTTTTTGTTTTTGGTCCATGATTGAATGTGATATTAGAGGACTGATCATGCTTGAACATATGTTTTCTCCTCTCAAAGAAATTGGATTACTGCTATCCATATTCAGCGAAGGAAAAAAACAAAAGAAAGGACTAATTCTATCGAAAAGTAGTCTTCAACTCTGACACAAAGCAGCTGTAATAAAGTACAACTCCTCTCCGATGTTTGAGCCTTTGAGGCAGCTAACATTAGTCATCCGTTAATCATCCTACTTCTCCGTTACACATTTACAGCACACGGATCGAAATGGTCCCCGGCCGGCCAAAGCTACTGATCTCAGCTTCTTCTTCATTGATCATGAAATGATAGCAAAGTTAATTGCTTAAAAGTTCCAAGTGGTTTTCAGTTAAAGTCGTTTAATCAAATGCCAAGATTTTCTTACTTGGAGTCGTGTAAACGAAAGCTGAGGTATGATAGTCAAAAGAACTTATCTTTTTTTTTTTTGGTTAACAAAGTTAGTTAGTCTAGTCGGTTTTACAGAAGCAAAATCGAAGTTAAAGAATACCCCATGATCAAAATAGACAAATTTGTGGATGTGTTTTGTGTGATACTGGTATATATAAGAATTTCAAGGTCTGGTTCCAAATGATGAAGAGAAAAAATTAAAGGAAATGTAGCTCCCTGAAAGAAACGTTAGAACCCGGAAAAACTAGGTAAAAACTGGGACTCCCGACAACACAATAGCAGGAAAAAGCTTCCAGTTGGGTGACCGAGCTTATTTGGTGCTGCTGCAGCATGAGTTCAGCAGTAACTAGTACAAAGTAGAGTGCAGGAGGAGTCAGGCAAAAGCACGTAGGATAATGCATGCGTTGCTCTCTCTTTGTTTTGCATCGCAATCGCATTCTTCTCTCTTTCTCTTTATTCCAGCATCTTTTGGTGTTGGGATCCATCCATCCATCCCAGTCTCTGTGTCTGTGTTTTTTATCATTCACTCACTCACACAATTGATCAGAATTACACAAAAACTTTTCTTAAAGAAATAAAATTCCTCTGCTGCCTTCTGTCTCAGTTGTCAGTAGTACTGTACAATATCCCAGCTTATTGGCTATATATAGCTTAGCTTTCTTTCTCCTCGGATCACGTAAAATTTTAATCTTCTTCATGAGTTTACAACCCTTTTCCTATCTTTTCTATTTTCTTTTGTTTTTATTGGCGCTCGAGTTTATAAAGCCTTTCAAGTCTCTCCAATTTTTTTCTCTGCAAGCATACGTTTGCTGCTTTTCAGTTAGTCCCCTTAGAATTGATTTCCAGAGCTTCTTTTTTTTTAAAAAAAAAAAAAGATACAAGGGACTTCTACTCAAAACGACCCAGACCAAAATAATTCAGCCACTAGTATATTTCAACCGCAATTGCTTACACTACTTGTATGACTAAAAAACTACGAAAGAAAATCGAGAAACTAATTTTGCCTAAGGCTTGTTTTTCTCCTATTTCTTTTCATACGCAAGATTATATGTGTAATATCTCGAGTTCTGAGCTGGCCCAACAACTTTTAGACGTATATGAAACAGGTCTAAGATATTTAAGGCAAGTTAATATGTTAGTATTTATCAATCAACACTTTCAGAATTCACACGCCTGACAGTCTAGTAGTCAATGTTTAAAGAGCAAAATTACAATGGACCTCTAATGACAATTACTTTCCTAAGGAGTTCTAGTTTACATGGACGTCCATTGGATTCCTATTGTTTACGTCAACCTTTCCCACATTAAGATAAAACCATACCAATTGAATTGATACCAAGCTCTAGCATGCATGTATTATGTATACCGTTTCAGCATAAAGAAAGTGATCTCTATACTAATTTTACAGGTTGAGCAGAAGGTGTTATGAGTTATGAATCACGAGGGAGTCTAAATAGAGCAAAGATGCTGATGACTCGTACATTAATTCAGTTCCAAATGATTATCTTTTCTCCAGTTGAGAAAGTGTTGGTTTAGTGGTTAAGGTTGATACTTCAAAACGTAGGGGTCCGAGATTCTAATCTCCTTGCCCCTCCGGACTTCTTAAATCTCACCCCTCTTCTACTAGGAAAAATAAAAAACGATTATCTTTTCTTCATTTTGTTAAGGAGCTAAACATTTGTAAGGTAGGAAATCTTGACAAGTCTGCCTACATTTTTGACATCTCCTTTTACATTGTATATGTTTTTGAGAAAAGTATAAATTAGAGGTGCAATTGAGCCACCTGGTTTTGGCAAATTCAAACTCAGCTCATAAATTATGTGGATTTTTGGCTTTGACTTTTGGGTTCGACCTCAAATTAAAAGCTCAAAACTCAACTCACATTATTATAGGAGATTAGGGCTCAAATCAAACCCGGCCCAAACTCATAATTAAATACATAATTATATATAATATATATTTTATAATTATAAATTATTATAAATTTTATGTCATAATATCAATTATACATATTATGATCCAGCGGTTCAATCGGTGAACCGAAAAAAATCATTGAACCATCGACTTAAAATTTTTAC